CCAGCACGGGAGGCCGGAGCGACGCTGGGGCTGAGCCCAGAGGGGACCCGGGTGTCCCCAGGGTGCGGAGGAGGGTGCCCGGAGGGGGGACACCCGGTCCCTCCGCCCCGGTACCAGCGCACGGGACCCTTGTCCCGGCCGGCACCGACCCGCATCCTGCTGGGGATGCTGGTACCGGATCCCACCCGCTGCCCGGGACACGTCTTGATACAGGTACCGATACCAGAGCGCCGTGCCCGCGTGGGAACCGGTACCGGACCCGATCTCGGCACAGGGCTGGTCCCGGCTCCCCAGCCCCGAACCGGACCCCCAACCTGGTACAGCCCCATCCCAGCGCGGCTGCTGGCTCCAAATCCCACCCCGCTACGAGCGCCAGACCCACACTTTGGTACAGGTACCGGTATCAGACCCCCAGCCCGGTACCGGCTCCAGTCCCGGTGCCGACCTCCCATTCCAGAGCTGCCGGCATCCCAGGCCGGGACCCACATCCCAACCCAGGTGCCACTAGGGGCCCCATTCCCGGTACCCGACCCCTGTCCCAGACTGGGTTCCGCTGTCCCGATTCTGCTGTCTGGGTCCCAGGATCCCGGTCCTGCTATCCCAGTCCAGGTGCCCCTCTATCCTGGTCCGGGTGTCCCAGTTCCAGCATCCCAGTCCCACTTTCCCAGTCTGGATGTCCCACTATCCTGGTCCGGGTGTCCCACTATCCTGGTCTGGGTGTCCCGGTTCCGGTATCTCAGTCCCGCAATTCCCGGCCCGGTGTCCCGGTCCCGCTATCCCAGTCCGGGTGTCACGGTCCGAGTGTCCCACTATCCCAGTGCAAATGTCCCGGTTCCTGTATCCCAATCCTGCTATCTCCGTCCCGCTATCCTGGTATCCCGATCCTGCTATCTCGGTCCCGGTGTCCCGGTCCCGCTACCCCGGTCCGGGTATCCCACTATCCCGGTCCGGGTGTCTCGCTATCCCAGTTCCAGTATCTCGATCCCACCATATCGGGTCCGCTATCCCGGTCCCGCTATTCTGGTCCGGGTGTCCCGGTTCCGATATCCCGATCCCGCTATTCCAGTCCGGGTATCCCGCTGTCCCGGTTCTGGTATCCCGATCCCGCTATTGCGGTCCGGCTGTCCCGCTATCCCGATCCGAGTGTCCCGGTTCCGGTATCCCGACCCCGCTATCCCGGTCCGAGTGCCCTGCCATCCCGGTTCCAGTATCCCGATCCCGCTATTCCAGTCCGGGTGTCCCCCTATCCCGGTCCGGGTGTCCCGGTTCCGGGTGTCCCGGTCCCGCTATCCCGGTCCGGGTGTCCCGCTATTCCAGTCCGGGTGTCCCGCTATCCCGGTCCGGCTGTCCCGGTTCCGATATCCCGATCCCGCTATTCCAGTCCGGCTGTCCCGCTATCCCGGTCCGGGTGTCCCGGTTCCGGTATTCCGGTCCCGCTCTCCCGGTCCGGGCGTCCCGGTTCCGGTATCCCGATCCCGCTATTCCAGTC